ATCAAGCCCGCCGAGACAAAGAGAAAGTACTTGTCCGCGACACATCCTCGCGAGTGTACGCTGCCCGGGCTCGAAAGACACGCGTGTCGTAAAGTCGATCGACTTGTTTGGACGATCACGAGCCGGATACTCCTGCCGCGAAGTGATCGCGATGTAAACGCGAGCCGCCGATACATCAGCCGTCGACAATCTCGCGGTTCCGCGCGAGATGTTGCACATCGTGTTAATTCGCGCCTTCGCGTCCGCGTTTAATGGAAGTTGGCGCTTTTCCCGGCCGAAGCTGACGTTCACGTCTAGTCGGCGCGGCCGCCCCGCCGACAGCATCATCGGCATCAGAATCACAGTCGATACGCTTTTCCGCCGCATCTCTCGCCGAGTACGAGCCGAGTACGAGCATTTCTTTCTCGCCCTCCCTATCGATAACGCGCTGTCGACGTTAAATTAAAATATTCGCGCTCGCTGAGAGCCTCGCTTCTTGCTCGACGAGGGAAAACGCGAGGTAAGCTCGGCGCTGGCGCGCGCTTTCGCGGCTTTCGGTGAATTGCTTTTCGTGCGGCTTGCGCCGCACTTCGACCGACGATGCAATCGGGGAAACTTCCGTGTAGAGAGGGTGAAGGCGCGCGCGCGAGAGGATGAGAGAGAGAGAGAGAGAGAGAGAGAGAGAGGAAAGTCTTTGTTCACCGTCGACGTCCCGAATCCGAGATTCGCGTTCGACAAATCCATTTTCAACGCTCGCGAGCAACGCGAATATCCGCCGGCATCTCACCGCGGGATTTAAGTCACGTCTGTGCGCCATGGTCCACCGAAGCGACTCGTTCCGGGCTTGATAATTACCCGAGTCGACATTTTCCATTCTACATTTATCCTGTGAATACTCTTGAGCTCGAATAATCAATGGAGAACCACGAGATCTTACATCATGCGCAGACTATCGATCCACTTCGACGCTACGTTATCATTTTTACCCCGACGTTGGAAACTTCTTTTTAGAGTTTAGATGTCTGAAAAATGTGAGAAAGAAGTAAAACCGGAAATAACAGCTAGTCGTACATTGCCTCTCGAAACGAGAAACTACGAAATTTTAACAAAATTCTGAAAAGATAAAAACGTACTTCTTTGTGATTGAATCGTCGTTAGCTTCGAAATTACGAGACCGCGAACGAGATCGTGGGATTGTTCGCAACGAGAAGTGCGCGCTTGGGAGATTTTGTACCGGCGATAAGGCGACGTAACTATGTATAGCTATGTCAAAAGGCACAATGTACAATGGTTATACCTCGAGACTCCCCATCGAAGAATCAAGTTCCTTCTAGTTCGACGGAATTTGCAGAGTCAATGAGGAAGGGCAATTTTGCCTGGAATATATCGCCGACAATTAGCCGACAGTTCCGCGTGCGCGCGGAAAGTCACGAAGCGAATTACGAAACGAATATGTATCCAAATTACAATGTATACCCCGATTATATGGAATTTAATTTGTATATCGCGCTTATGAGATATACAACATATATGCCGAATGTGTCGGCGGAAAATCAGCGTGAATCCCCAAGCGCGTTCCTCTTCGCGAAAACTCGCACGACTTCGCTCGCAATTTCGTACAATCCCGACTCTAACGACAAAGTATGATTCAATCATCACTCGCAAAAGGAGGTTTTTCAGCGGCGAGACGGACAGAGAGGAAGGCGGGGCCCACGTGTGTTGTGTTTTCTCTCTCTCTTTTCCTCGCAATTAAAAAGTTTCGTGCGTTCGACAATATTCCGCGGATAAATGCGTTTTACCAGTCTCGCAACTGGGAAATGAACGCGTGTAAACGAACTCGCGAGCGCAGCTGCATCGAACGCCGGGGGTTATCTGAAACATGATCTGATTTACATCGTTCCGGGGGTGGTTCGATGATGCTAACCCGTCGACGGCGAGCGAAGGATGGCCAGACGAGCGAAGGGTGACCGGACGGGCGAAGCCGTACGCGTGTATATAAAAAAAAAAAGAGGAAGAGAGAAGGAGAACGAGAGAGAGAGAGAGAGAGAGAGAAAAGTTCAACCCGCGTTATGCAATAGCGAGCGTCGATCGATCGCGGGAGACAAAATAATCGGATAATAATCCGTATTATCACCGGCCAGCCGATCGTATCGAATTGCTAAGTAAGCTTCGCAATGATCGATCGCAAATCTTGTCATTCGAAAGTCGATCGCTGTGCGCACGGACGAAAATTGTCAAGCTCGTCGGTCCGAAAAAGATTTGCGCATGTTACGTCTCGTCTCTCCGGCGAAGATACAAATCGCGTTCTCGCACGCGAATAAAAGAAAAGGTCAAAGTAAATCCGAAGAGAATATATCTGGCGTATTTTTATCTTCGTGTTCCTTCGTGCGCGCTTCGGCGATCAAATATGACTTTAATTCAACGCGAATGAAACCCCGAGAGAGCTTAATGTCGCGGAGCGACGCGTGACCTTGTGTCACGATTCCTCCGATTTTGATTGTCGACGTCCCCCCTGCGCAGTTCCTTAGGAACTTTACCGATATGTAACGCGAATCGCGCCGGATCCGATTACCTCGAATATCACGTTTCTACAATTTACTCGGGCAATCCGGACGGAGATTACACGGCGCGAGGAATGCCCCACCGCAAGTGTGCAGCAGTCTATCTCGCGCGGGCTAAAGAGCCGTGAGAGGTCCAGGGGCCGGTCCCAAGCAAGCAAATGAAGTTACACCCGCGAGTGCAGCTGCGCCGTTTCAAAGGATCTATCTGAAAGGCGATCTAATTCGAAACATTACGAAGATGGTTGCGCGATTCCAACTGGCCGGCTCTGCTCGCGGTCGACCGACGGCCCGCGGTCGGGTCAAGAAACTTTCGTCTTCGGACGACTCGCCGCCGCTCTACCCCCGCCCCCCCCCTCTCTCTCTCTCCCACCCACATCCCCGCGGAAAAGCGAAATTCATTACGCAATTGCAGAATTTCATTGCAACCCGCGCGAAAGCGAGCGCGCAAATAGACGAGATCGCGAGTCTCGTCGGTCCCGTTCGCGGCGCTCGCGCGAGCTCGCGACGCGCGTTCCGCGCGGCGGGCCGTGATCGGACATACCGCGGAAACGACCGCGGCTCGGGGAATTAATTGTTCCGCTCAATTGTTGCGGGATTAATTGCACCGCGTCGCTTCTGCGTGTCCCCGACTCGCGGATCTCTCGCGGCAAGAATCCCGCGGCGCTTCTTGCTCTCGGCACTCTCGAAGATTGAAATTTCCGCACGCGCAGCATCCTTCCGCGTGCGGAAGGTGGCGAGAGGATTCAAGGTAGCCTGAGAAAATGCCATACCGAGCTTGCTCGGCTGAAATATGCCGTGCGAAACGTTTGAAGGTAGCAGAGGAGAGACTATTTCACGCGTGGTATAAATTTCCATGCTGCCAAGTTAAAAAGATATACTAAAACTGCTAATTAATCGCCGTAGTGCATATATTTACACCTCGTTATAAGTGTATCCTTGAATACTACATGATTACGACTTTATGCATAAATCGCATAAATAAAATGACTTTTCATACTTTAAAGTTAAGAAGATGCCTAAACAAATTACTTTAATTGATTGATCGTAATATGCAAATTTGCGACTCGGCATGAATATGTTCCACTTATAGTGCGCGAATACAGAACACCAGTTAACGTATCTTTCATCAAAAATCTCCTCCGTGCATCCTCCGAGATAATATCCGTGCTCAATCCGTCTTCATCCGCGGAGCGATTTGCAGCCTGTTTGCGCTTCGTTGTCTTCGTCAAACGGATAAACACACATACACACACGCGCGCGCGCGCACACGCACGTATCGCTCTCGCATTCACGAGGCGTATTTTCGACACGATCCGCTTGAAAAAGCCTCCTGAGCGGAGCGATAGAGCGCGTCTCTTTCGTCAGCGGCGGAATTAATCAAGAGAACTTTCTTTCGCGAGACTTCTCTGTCGTCGACACACCGTGCGCGCGTGCGTCCGGCGAGTCAAGAAAATCGCAAGCACGAGATTGCACAAGCGCTTCCGGTTTCCCGAGAGATGCGCGCGGACCTTGAAGTGACGCGGAGTGAAACGTATCTCGGACGTAGCCGCGACGACGCTCATTACGGCTATCCTCGATCACCGCGTATTCCATGTCTCAGCGTCGAGAGAGTAAGAAAGTGGCGGAAATGTTTTCATGTTTCTGCCACGCGATACACCGCGTCGGTGCGCACCGCTTAGCAAGTGAAAGCAAAAAAGGGTACTCGACTTAGGCTCGAGTCATGTGTCTCTGGTTTTTACCGCGCTGCATTAGCGGAGTGCGTGGTGAGGTCCGCCGCCGACACACACGTGTCGGATCTGTGACATCGAGATAGCCATCGAAGCGCGTTGTGTGTCTCCTTTCGAGCGAGCGAGCGCGTTAATTCCGGCCTGATAATAATAGTAGCCCAAGGCGGCACGCGAGAAACTATGAAATTGAGCGTGACACAGACCGAAGGCCGACCAGTACCGAGCGTTAGATTAACCTGCGCGCTCGTCAATGCCAGGTAAAATTGTGGCGATAAAAATCATTAGCCGTAATCGCGCCAAGGCGGCCGCTATCGGTTCTCCCCGTTTGAATACGTTAAACATACGCTCAGGACGCTACGCGAAGCGAGCAGGAGCGCGGAATTCAGCAGGAGCGGCGAGAACCTCACGGTGGTCCAATTAGGTCGTCGTATAATCGCGAGAGCGGCATAACGATCGCGAGCCGGCTACCCCGGGGCTTCGGTAACTTCGTCATTTAGCTGCGCTGTTTAGCTTCGCTGTTTAGCTTCGCCGTTTAGCTCCGCTTCGCTTAGCTTAACTTATCGCGAACGTAATTCGCGCGGTGCAATGTGGAACGCCGCGCGCGTGGTGTCGTCGATCGTCGTGTCGAAATAAACCGCGAGTTCATTTCCGCGGGCGTTCGTACGATTCCACGTTGCACCGTGCGCGCGAGTGTCTCGCTTAAAAATACGTAAGAACAAGAAGTGGTACTTACTCCCTCGTGGACCGTAGAACTTAACGGAGAATTCATTTAGCCCTCCTAAGATTGTCACCTCGTGTTTGCTTTCTATACTGTTTGTGCGGGGAAGTCAAGGAAAATCGTTCTCTTTTTCTCTCCCGTTACGTCGTCTCGCGCAGTTGCGCGTTCGCGACGAAAGAGGCAGGAGGGCAGAGAGTGAGTGAGAGAGAGAGAGAGAGGGAGGGGGAGAAGAAGAGAAAGAGAGTGACAAATCACGGCTTGTCTGCCGTCGACGACAAACGGCACGGTAATCAGCGTAACGATGCGCTTGGAAAATTGAAATGGAAGTAAGAGAAGATGTAAAACTGTGCCAGGCCGACCGTTACAGCGCGGCCATCTAACCGGTACAATGCGCGAACGCTCGAGTGACAAAGCGAAACCGTATCATCTCTTTCTCCCTCGCTCTCGCTCTTTCTCTCTTTTTATGCAATAAAAGCAACTTCGCGTGAAGAGGATGTGAGATCGGACTTGCGTCGAGTCAATAAACCACCCGGTTCAAACTCTGTCCTTTTCCGTGCTGATTCATCCTCTTTTTGTCCACACGATTGTAAACAAAAGTATAAAAGTGTATGTGAAGTATAAAACCTCATGATAAGTGTAGCATTTCTCTTCGTACCTTACGAGCGGCGATGCACTTTAAATAACTATACATTGTTTCCTGATTATTCAATAACAATAATAATTTGGGAATTTGCGAGTAACGATTTGAAAGCTGAGTCCGCGGAGGAGCACCTTTCTCATCGTGAACTAGTCTCGCCGGTCGTACAAAGTTCCAGCGAATTTCAACGGAAGAACCGTACATCTGTGCAAATGAAACAAAAAAAGAAAAACACGTTATCGGAAACGAAGAGAGCGAGGAAGCAACACGGATTACAGCGACCCATACGGGCTTGGTCGGGATAACCTACGAGAGGAAGTATTTCAGCTTCGTTTTACTATGCATAGTTGCGCACGTGTTTAAGATTCTCTTGTATCGAGTATGAATACAGCACGCGTTTAAAAAGGACAGAGATTGCAGTAATTCTTGCATACACACATACACATACATACACGCATACATACATACACACACACACACACGCACGCACGCACACACACACACACGCACGCACACACACCCACCACCAATGGCAACATGCTACGCAGTCGCTAGCTCGGCTTATCGCTCGTGTAGGAGCAGAACTTTCGATGCGTGCGTTAGAAAGTGCTTATCTAAACGGCACGTTCGGCGGAAGGTGAATTACCGTTTTTCCTCGGAAGGCCCGGTACGCGTAGCGTAACGGGAGCGCACGAGCGCGTCCGCGTTGCACGTGTATGAAAACGCGAGCGGGCGCTGCGGGATTTTCCAGCGAGCGCCGGTCGTGGCGGGGTGAATCATAAAAGCGGATTTCACTTGGCGTGAAACCTCCGACAAACGAGCGATGGCCGGTCGACGACGCTCTTTGAAGGCGCAAAAGCGCGAGGGACACGAGCGGGCAATTTTTCCGCCGCGGGATTAGAGCGAGGATCACATTCGCGCGAGTATCTCGCCTCGAGTATTCGTCAACTCGATAAGTGCTACACAAGTATCGTCAGCTCACCCTTTCCTCTTCCGCTGCCCCTCCGTCCCACATTCGTCGTGCTTCGCGCGTTTCGCGCGCGAGCGACCTGTAAGCCGCGTTATAATTTATGACTTGTACCTTTATCACGGGAAATCTGCATATCGCAACAATAAAAAAAGTCGTTTCAATTAAATTATTCAACTGTCTGTCGAGGACTCGACAGCGTAACAACATATTATTTTTTTTGCTGTCGCTTGAAACACAAAAATACCATTAATATTCCTTCGCTGAATTTGATCGACGCGCGTGTGAGGCATGTCGCCTGTGGAATAAAAAAAAAGAAAGACTAAAATATCCCGCTGAAATATTTAAACCTAAAGTTCCATGAAAGCATCAATAGTAAAGACATTAATTTCTGGCTGTGTTCACTGCGTTCATCAACTGCGGAATATTTTTCGTTGTAAAAATTCGCACCGCGTGGCAAAATGGAGAAGGTCAAAAATAAAATCCCGGCAGGAAACTCCACCTCGAATAATATTTTATCAATATAGAGAACAAAAACAGAGTACTCTCTTTTCCCCACCCGCACCCTTCTCCTCCCTTCGGTCCGATTCCCTTAAAACTATTTTACATATCGGAGATACCGCGAAAACATAACCTTTTAACACACACGACGACCACGGGCGTACGAAATAAAGAAAAAAAGAAAAAGAGGAAACAAAAACAAAAATGATTATCCGGAAACTAAGCACTGAACGTCGCCGATATCAAGAGGACACTTTTCAATATGGGATCGCACACCTGCGATTATGCGATTAACAAGAAGAAAAATCGCGTGGCGCAACGCATGTTAAGCTGGATTCACGTAAACGACCGCAAACAGGACTTCGTCAATTCTCCGTCAGAACTCCTCAATGCTTCTGAAGTGTTCTCATAGTCACATTCCTCTTTAAAAACTTAATAACCGATCCTTTTAAAAGAAAAAAAAAAAAAAAAAAAGAAAAAACAATAGAGGATCGACGGATTCTCATCTGCCATTATCTACACAGATGTGAATCCGGACTTTATCCGGCATGCTTTTGCGATATTCACAGTAACTTATGTCATACCTTGACTATTCTCATTCGACGGAGAATTAACGGATCCCTGTCTGCCGTCGTTCAGACGGACAGTGCGAGTCCAGACTTACGTAGCGGTAAACGCAGCTCTCTTGACGTTCGCCAGCCGCCAGAGAACGAAGGTGAGTTGCGTTCAGTTACATCGCGAGGCGGCTTCGACGAGCGCGTTATGCCCCCGACTCTCACCTGAGAGAGGCAGGTGGCTTCTCGAGAGTCTCTCATTGTTACCCGGAGAATCGCGTGTACCGATTTCGCGGCGCGCGTTTCTCAAAGCGCGCGTAGTAAATACACACACGCGCGACGCACACACACACACACACACACATACCGCGACGGATGGAACAATGGACGGATGCACGTAGGAAATAAACGTGGAATCGCACGTGGGTCTCGGGCCGCTTGCACGCGCGAGCCTCTCTTAATCGTTTCCCCATGGCGACGCGACACGACGCGATAGCGGCGCGCCTTCGTCGTCGCACGCGCGCCATTGATTAGAACGCGATCGTCCTCCCCTCCCCCCTGCCCCGCCACCCTCTGGATCTCATCCGGAACGCTCTCCAGGAAGCTGGCATATAAATTCCCGGCGTCGTGTTATAATGCTGATAACTATCGCGTCGCCTGTACACAGACTGTCGCCGGCGACAGTCTTGTTTATTCGATCGCGAGTGATGTTAGGAGAGACGCGCTCTTACGATAAGATACCAGGGAGGTAATGAGTGAACTTGATGAAGAGCAGTAGTGGCTTTCGGGTGAACTTTGAACCGCGGCCGGTTACGCGCAACGAAACTTCAAAGTTTCGCCTACCTCTCACGGTTCTTGCAAGCGAGCTCTGTCCGCATTTTCAAAAATGCCATTAAGGGCCGCGTTAAGGACCGTGAATGAGACGCGGAAATGTGGAGCAAAATAGAACTGGCACTGCGGTGAGGTTGCAACCTCGAGCCTCGGGAGCTTTCTTTTCCTCTTTCGAATAGCGAACGGTTAAAAGACCGGAGACGTGTTCTTGTAGAAAGCATAACGGAAGACGCGCAGACGACGACGAGGCGGAAGGAAATCGCGGCGAACCACTGGCTGCGCTAACGTTCCGATTCGATCGTTCAATTTCTCGTTATGCCGGACACACGAACATTGCCTCGTACGTTAAGTCGTACACCGTCATAAAGTGACCGAGAGAGAAAACGAGAGAGAGAGAGAGAGAGAGAGAGAGAGAGAGAGAGAGAGAGAGAGAGAGAAGGAGGGAGGGAGGAAGAAAGAGGGGAAGAGACACCGCGGCGGCGCGCTGAAAGTCGTACTTTTCCCCGGCTGGAATCCGCAATCAACGGCCTTTCCCCGCTACTCCCATTATCATAGAATAATGTAGATATAATCTCGCGTATGTGTCTCATCAAACGATCATCTCTATTCATGTGCTCTAATATACACGGCTGAATTAGCGCGACGGTGCAGGCATCCTGTTACGGAGCGACGGCATGTGCCACTGACAGACGTGCATCCAGCGCGTTATTAGAGAACATATCGTCTCCATATTTCAACGCGCGCCGTCCAACTAGATATGAAAACGGACGAGAGGGAATTAAATACAAAGGGGGAAATTACGAGGAAAAGGTTACGAAATTAAGAATTCAAAGGAGCCGCGCGCGCGCGCGCGCGCGAGAGAGAGAGAGAGAGAGAGAGACCTCAGCTGACCCGTTGTTCGAGCGAACAAGCTGGCTAGTCGACGCACAGTGGGACGTTTGACCCGAAAGCTGGCCAGAAGTCAATTTTCTTAAAATCATTCCTGCTCTACATGAATGATTGTCCTAGACTGTTCTAGTTGAATATCTGCGGAATAATGGGCCGCTATGCTTTTGTTCATCCGCGATAACATGAAGTGGTTTGTTTAGTCAGAATTTGGACATTATTCGTATTGCACGCATCAATTCTCAGCGCTTTATAACATACGATCTTCGATCAGAATTGTAAGATTCTTAGAAGTGGCAGCGCGAAATTTTTCGTTATGGATTGTTTCGACGAAGGTATGAAGAAACGTTTTAGACTATATTTATTGCAATTGAATTGTTATTCACGTAGTTATACGATTTTCAAAAATGTATCTTTTTGCGTTCTTGATGTCAAACTCGAAGGGATTTAGCTTGATACTTCAGGGTGTATCCCTGTTACGTTTCTTGGATGAAATGAAAGAGTAATCTCTCCGAATGAAATAACAAAAAGAATTAGCCGCGGAAAACCACGGATGTAGTTTTAGTGATTACTTTTGTTTCTCTAAACGTAAACTAGGTTTTGCCCAAAGGTTATTTAGACATGAAGTTTCCTTTTATTTCTTTTTGTTTTCTTTTTTTGTTTCCTTTTGTAGTATGGACATAATCAACAGACTTCTACCAAGTTCTGACCCGTTAC